TAATCTGTACTCAAATATCTTCATTTTAACAGATTACTGAGTCCAAAACATATTTTCTTAAAATAAAAATTACAAAAGATATTATTTAACCTGTTTGTAAAATAAATAGAACAAGTGTTTCATTTTATATTAATGAAGTTATATTAATTAAGTTTTATATGTTTTTGGTGTATCCCTCTTTTCTTTCTTTTCATTTATCTTACTTTTATTTAATTAAACGTAATTTCTAATCAGTTTTTTTGTCTTGTTGTATTCTCACTGTCTGTACTGCTCTAGGATATGTGTGGTGTTCATGCTTGCAACTAAATGCAAAGTTAATGTCATTTTTTAAGATTATTTTGATAAGATGCATAAATTTAAATCTGTAAATTCAAGCAGTGGCTCCAGGGGCGGATCTATAGAGAAACATTAAAGTGGGTGTCCATATAAAAATATCTGCTGGTTTAATCCCAAACAATGACATCCAGGCATGGGGAGTAACAGATGTAATCTAATTTCATTACAGTTACAGAAAAGAAGATGTAATCAGACTACAGTTACATTTAGTAAAACATTTTAGTAGGATTATTAGCAGGATTATAATTTTAATACACATATTAAAATAAAGAACAATATACTACCATACTACTATTACCAACATCCCACAGTCTCACAAGTGAAATCAGGATTCATTATTAAGGTCTCTAGTGAAAAGAAAGCTTTTACTGGGTGGAAATGTTGCTTTTATTTTATCTTTAAAGCAGAAATGAGGACTTCAGCAGAGTCTGTGAAAATGTTCTATGGGATACTACCTGAATGTGCTTCATGAAGAGAAATTATTCTTTTAATTCAATTCAATTCAATTCAATACAGTTTTATTTGTATAGCACGATTCATAACAGAAGTTATCTCAGGACACTTTTCAAATAGAGCAGGTATTCTCTCTCTTTATAACATTATTTACAGAGACCCAACAGTACCACCATGAGCAAGACCTTGGTGATGGCAGCAAGGAAACACTTCCTTTTAAAGGCAGAAACCTCAGACAGACCCTTCGACTCTAGGTGGATGCAGCAGTGATGCCAAAAATGATTTTCTTTTATTTCTACGGTTACATTAGTCTGTTGTTTTATAGAATAGATGTTAATGATAGTTTATTTCTCTTGTTTTTATTCACATATCTGGTGTTGAGGTAATCCAAAAGTAACAGAAAATAATCAAGTTACTTTATTATTGTGATACTTGGATTAGGTTACTGACTTTAATAGGTCATTAGAAATTGTATCAGATACATTTTTTAAAGTAATCCTCACAATCTTGACTATGTCAGTATCTGAACACATTTTAACTCTACTATATTTAAATTGTAATATCTAAAGGCAGAATTAGAAATCAATACAGTGAATTATTTCCAGTCTTCAGACAATTACAAATACAGTCTTTATTTATTGAACTGAAGCCAATCAGTTCAATGCGTTATTTAAAAAAAAAAGTTAAATTAAAAAGTTAAATCTGACACCAAACTGGGGTAAAGCCCCTCTATATCTGAGTGGCTCCAACATTAAACACATTAGACGCATTAGACACATTAAACACTTTTGATTCCATATTTGTTCCTTTAATTCTGTTTCCTCGCTGTTGGCCGTACACAGACCCTGGATTTTGAATTGGATTTTGCAGCAGTCGTGTTGGATGTTTGAATAGTGTGTTCTGACCGACTGAAGTGTTTGTGTCTCTTTATCTCTGACAGTTGGGACTCATCAGCTGTCAGCCTCCAAATAGAAGCCAGAGACTCTGGGATCAGTTTTTATCAGACCCACATGTAGACAACACTTCAGACTAAAACAGAACTAATTCTTCTGACAGAGCTCGCTATCAGACCTCAGAGCTCGCTATCAGACCTCAGAGCTCGCTATCAGACCTCAGAGCTCGCTGTCAGACCTCAGAGCTTCTTAATACTGATTTGAGGACAATGACATGACTGATGGCTAGTCCTAAACATACTGTCCCATTATATTTACTGTTTATTATTGACTATGCATCTTGCAAGCATAACTTTAGGTCTGTTACGTTAGCTTTCTGTCTCGTAGCATAATGTCAATGAAAAAGGTTATCGTACTGGCTGAAAGAGAAATCCATATCTTGCATCTGACAAACAGTTTAAAAGCCCTCTGGGATTATCTGGGAATGAAAACTGTTTTTAGAGACACGTGGTTCTAATAAACAAACACATGATCTTACAGAATCTGATTCTGTAGATTTACAGCAGAATATAAAATAGTTCAAACATCAGCAGCCATAAAACACTGCAGTAACACACGAGAGTACGATGCTTAACTGCAGTAACACACAAGAGTACGACACTTAACTGCAGTAACACACGAGAATACGACACTTTACTGCAGTAACACACGAGAGTACGACGCTTTACTGCAGTAACACACAAGAGTACGACACTTAACTGCAGTAACACACGAGAATACGACACTTTACTGCAGTAACACACGAGAGTACGACGCTTTACTGCAGTTACGGCAGTAACACACGAGAGTACGACACTTTACTGCAGTAACACACGAGAGTACGACTTTACTGCAGTAACACACAAGAGTACGACACTTTACTGCAGTAACACACGAGAGTACGACACTTTACTGCAGTAACACACGAGAGTACGACGCTTTACTGCAGTAACACACGAGAGTACGACGCTTTACTGCAGTAACACACGAGAGTACGACACTGCAGTAACACACGAGAGTACGACACTTTACTGCAGTAACACACGAGAGTACGACACTTTACTGCAGTAACACACGAGAGTACGACACTTTAATTCAATTCAATTCAATTCAATTTTATTTGTATAGCGCCAATTCATAACAGAAGTTATCTCAGGACACTTTTCAAATAGAGCAGGTCTAGACCGAACTCTTTATAACATTAATTACAGAGACCCAACAGTACCACCATGAGCAAGCACTTGGCGACAAGGGCAAGGAAAAACTGCCTGTTAAAAGGCAGAAACCTAGGACAGATCCTCCGGCTCTAGGTGGGTGGTCGTCTGTCTCGACCAGTTGGGGTGAGAGAGAGAGAGAGAGAGCGAGAGAGAGAGCGACAGACAGACAGACAGGTGCACAGCAACAACAGTATTGGCAATGGCAGTCAAGCAGGACCATGGCAGGAGGCTCCACCAGGATCCATGAGAACCTGCGAGACGAGAAAGCACAAGAACTCCGGGGAAGAAGTGGAGTTAGTAACATGCATTAATGGAACATGAATGAGTGCAGAAAGAGAGAGGAAGAGAGTAGCTCAGTGCACCATGGGAAATCCCCCGATAGTCTAGGCCTATAGCAGCATAACTAAGGGATGGTTCAGGACTCACCTGATCCAGCCCTAACTATAAGCTTTATCAAAGAGGAATGTCTTAAGCCTACTCTTGAATGTGGTGAGGGTGTCTGCCTCCCGAACCACAACTGGAAGCTGGTTCCACAGGAGAGGAGCTTGGTAACTGAAGGCTCTGGCTCCTGTTCTACTTTTAGAGACTATAGGAACCACAAGTAGCCCAGCATTCAGAGAACGTAGTGTTCTAGTGGGGTAATAGGGTACTATGAGCTCTTTAAGATATGAAGGGGCCTGACCATGAAGAGCTTTATAGGTGAGGAGGAGGATTTTAAATTCAATTCTACATTTTATAGGGAGCCAATGCAGAGTAGCTAGTACAGGAGAGATGTGATCTCTTTTTCTAGTTCCTGTCAGTACTCGTGCTGCAGCGTTCTGAATTAATTGGAGCGTTTTAATGGACTTATTGGGGCAACCTGATAATAAAGAGTTGCAGTAATCCAGCCTTGAAGTAACAAATGCATGGATTAGTTTTTCTGCATCTGTCTGTGATAGTATGTGTCTAATTTTTCTAATATTACGTAAATGAAAGAAGGCAGTCCTAGAGGTCTGCTTTATGTGGGAGTTAAATGACAAATCCTGATCAAAGATAACTCCAAGATTCCTGACAGTGGTGCTAGAGGCCAAGTTAATGCCATCTAGAGTGACTATATCTTTAGACAATGAGTCTCTAAGGTTTTTGGGGCCAAGAACAAGAATTTCGTTTTTTTCTGAGTTTAACATCAGAAAATTGCAGGTCATCCAGGATTTTATGTCCTTAAGACATGTTTGTAATTTAGATAATTGATTAATTTCATTGGGTTTGATTGATAGATATAACTGTGTATCATCTGCATAACAGTGAAAGTTAATGGAGTGATTCCTAATAATGTTGCCTAAAGGGAGCGTATATAAAGTAAATAGTATTGGTCCAAGTACAGAACCTTGTGGAACTCCATGACTAACTTTAGTATTTATGGAGGATTCATCGTTAACATGTACAAACTGAGAACGATCTGATAAGTATGACTTAAACCAGGTTAGGGCAGTTCCTTTAATGCCAATTTGATGCTCAAGTCTCTGTAAAAGAATATTATGGTCAATGGTGTCAAATGCAGCACTAAGATCTAATAATACAAGTACAGAGACAAGTCCATTGTCGGAAGCAGTCAGAAGGTCATTATTAACTTTAACCAGAGCTGTCTCTGTGCTATGATGAACTCTAAATCCTGACTGAAAATCCTCAAATAAACTATTGTTATGTAGAAAGTCACACAACTCTTTGGCGACTACTTTCTCCAGAATCTTAGAGAGGAACGGGAGGTTAGAAATCGGTCTATAATTGGCTAAAACCCCTGGGTCAAGAGTGGACTTTTTAAGAAGGGGTTTAATTACAGCTACTTTAAAGGACTGTGGTACATATCCTGATAATAAAGAAAGATTAATCATATCCAGTAAAGAAGTGCCAATTAAGGGAACAACTTCTTTAAGCAGCCTAGTTGGGATCGGGTCTAACAGACAGGTTGATGGCTTCGATGAAGAAATGATTGAAGTTAACTGATGAAGATCGATAGCAGAAAAACAGTCTAAATATACATCTAAGTTTACATTGACAGAAGTCCCTGAACTTGGAGAGTTCATGACATAAAAAAGTTTTTATTTAATAAAATCTACAAAAGATAAAACTTTGAATCAACATGTGCAAAGTCTCATTGAGTGTAAAAAAAAATAAATCCACTTCTTTCATTTACAAACCAACCAGCAGGAAGAACATCAACACAAGAGCACGCTGGAAAAATAACCTGTGCATCAATTGATGTTGGAGTTTGAACTCTTTATAACCAGCGTCTGATGCAGTGGAGGACGTTAGATCAGCGTCCAGACAACACTCTGCAAATAATTAACAATCTGTGGTAGAGTTGCTCCTCACTCAGTAACTCTAATAATATATAATATATAAAATATAAACTAATAAGTGTAAAGCAGAGTGATTCTTTCATGGAGTATGGTGATACTGAGGTTATTATGAGTCCCAGACCACCTCAGGAAGAGGTTATTTATTATTTAGGTCTGAGTGATCACAGTGAGTCTCTGTGGTGGTTCACACTGTGTTTGCTGTCCTGAAATGTGACTGCAGGTAAATGTCAGTCAGTCATTAAAATGTTCCTTTTCATTAATAACATTTACTCTGATGGTTTTTGTCTCTGCACAAACCTCCATTTCACTGCTACAGACTACAGTACAGGAGGTCAAATGTCAACCAGGAAGCAGGGATGGCGCCTTGTTTAAATAGTGGGAGGGCTGAACAGGAAGTCCCTCATCATTACAGCAGGAAGTGGACCTCCAACACTGGACGCAGTTCTCTGTAGACCTCCTGGAGTTTAACAGGTTGATCTGTTTGTTCACTGACAGGAACTGACAGACTGTCAAAATATAATCCACTGTTCAGGTGAGTCTCAGGTGTTCAGCAGAGCGACATGCGTTTGCGGTACTGCTCCACCAGTGGCACCAGGCAGCACGGTGAGCCGGCCTGCAGCAGGAACGGGTGCCCCAGCAGGTCGGTGGCACTGGAGCGCTGCTGTGTGTCCCGGGTCAGCATGCGGTCCAGGAAGTCCTTCAACACTGGAGACACCTGAACACAGAGTGACATCATCAGCTACTGCCAGGTCGACCGTGACCCAAATCACCTTAAATATATTAAAACTTCAGTAATTACTAATGAGGTCCCCACAATGCCTGTTCTGATCTGGTGTCCTCACTATGTCCCTATGTGTGTGTGTGTGTCTGACCCTCTGGATGTTCTTCACACTCGGTGCTGTTTCGTCTCTCAGCTTCTTCATGGCAGTGATGGGCGTGTCACTGAAATATGGCGGCTCTCCGTCCACCATCTCCACCACCATGATGCCCAGAGACCAGACGTCCACCTGCAGGAAATAATATTCAGACTGTTTCTATTGATCTATTGATCTATTATACAGTATATAACATCTGTAATGTTCCTCCGCCACGATGGACGCTGCTGCCTCGAAAAGCCAACATACGGATGTGGATCTGGTTTTCTTGTTGTTACCTCGGTCCCATACGGGGTCTTTGAGATCACCTCGGGAGCCATCCAGTACGGAGTCCCAACCAGAGACTTCCTCTTCGGGATGTCTTTACTGATCTGAGCGCAGAAACCAAAGTCTGACAGTTTGATCTGCAGCAGGAGAAGAAGTAGAAAAGTTCACGTCGATCCGTGAATCATCAGAACCAATCAGATGTGAGATCTGCTCTGTCATCAGTGGATATATATACATATATATATATATGTATATATATTGTATGTAATAGACTTTATATACTTACTGTATGTAATAGACTTTATATACCGTACTGTATGTAATAGACCTTATATACTTACTGTATTTAATAGACTTTATATACCGTACTGTATGTAATAGACATTATATACTTACTGTATGTAATAGACTTTATATACCGTACTGTATGTAATAGACATTATATACTTACTGTATGTAATAGACTTTATAACCGTACTGTATGTAATAGACTTTATATACTTACTGTATGTAATAGACTTTATATACCGTACTGTATGTAATAGACATTATATACTTACTGTATGTAATAGACTTTATATACCGTACTGTATGTAATAGACATTATATACTTACTGTATGTAATAGACTTTATATACCGTACTGTATGTAATAGACTTTATATACTTACTGTATGTAATAGACTTTATATACTTACTGTATGTAATAGACTTTATATACCGTACTGTATGTAATAGACCTTATATACTTACTGTATGTAATAGACTTTATATACCGTACTGTATGTAATAGACATTATATACTTACTGTATGTAATAGACTTTATATACTTACTGTATGTAATAGACTTTATATACCGTACTGTATGTAATAGACTTTATATACTTACTGTATGTAATAGACTTTATATACCGTACTGTATGTAATAGACATTATATACTTACTGTATGTAATAGACTTTATATACCGTACTGTATGTAATAGACCTTATATACTTACTGTATGTAATAGACTTTATATACCGTACTGTATGTAATAGACATTATATACTTACTGTATGTAATAGACTTTATATACCGTACTGTATGTAATAGACTTTATATACTTACTGTATGTAATAGACTTTATATACCGTACTGTATGTAATAGACCTTATATACTTACTGTATGTAATAGACTTTATATACCGTACTGTATGTAATAGACATTATATACTTACTGTATGTAATAGACATTATAAACCGTACCGTATGTAATAGACCTTATATACTTACTGTATGTAATAGACATTATATACCGTACTGTATGTAATAGACTTTATATACCGTACTGACTTTACATACCGTACTGTATGTAATAGACATTATACACTTACTGTATGTAATAGACTTTAAATACAGTACTTTATGTAATAGACATTATATACCGTACTGTATGTAATAGACATTATATACCGTACTGTATGTAATAGACATTATATACCGTACTGCATGTAATAGACATTATATACCGTACTGCATGTAATACACATTATATACCGTACTGCATGTAATACACATTATATACCGTACTGCATGTAATACACATTATATACCGTACTGCATGTAATAGACATTATATACCGTACTGCATGTAATACACATTATATACCGTACTGCATGTAATAGACATTATATACCGTACTGCATGTAATAGACATTATATACCGTACTGCATGTAATACACATTATATACCGTACTGCATGTAATACACATTATATACCGTACTGCATGTAATAGACATTATATACCGTACTGCATGTAATACACATTATATACCGTACTGCATGTAATACACATTATATACCGTACTGCATGTAATAGACATTATATACCGTACTGCATGTAATAGACATTATATACCGTACTGCATGTAATAGACATTATATACCGTACTGCATGTAATAGACATTATATACCGTACTGTATGTAATAGACAAAATAAAATGTGTTACCCTCCCGTCCAGTGTCAGCAGGATGGAATCGCTCTTGATGTCTCTGTGAATGACTCCCTGAGAGTGAAGATAAGACAACGCCTGCAGGACGCCCTCACACACCGTCGCTGTCTGCTCCTCGCTCAGCCTGAAATACACACATATACACATTAATACACATTAATCCACACAGATACACATTAATACACATTAATACACACATATACACATTAATACACATTAATCCACACAGATACACATTAATACACATTAATACACACATATACACATTAATACACATTAATACACACATATACACATTAATACACATTAATCCACACAGATACACATTAATACACATTAATACACACATATACACATTAATACACATTAATACACACAGATACACATTAATACACATTAATACACACATATACACATTAATACACACATATACACATTAATACACATTAATACACACAGAAACACATTAATACACATTAATACACACAGATCAATCAGACTTTATGTGTATAATTATTGATATATACACAGTCAGGTGTCTCTGACTTCCTGCTCACCTGGTTTCACTGACGATGTGTGTGAGAGCGCCGCCCTGCAGGTACTCCATGATTACCCAGAGTTCCTCCTCCACCAGAGCACTCCGGTACATCTCCACGACACTCTGGTGCCGGTAGTCCCTCATGATCACCACCTGAGACACACAAGGACAGGTGAGACACACAGGGACAGGTGAAACAGGTGAGACAGGTGAGGCTGATGACATCACTTAAAATCTGATTATTAAAATTACAAAAACAACCTGAAGTTATTGATCTATTGATAAATCAGTGATACTCGCTCAGCCGTGCTGACGGCGTCCTGTACCTCATTGAAGAGCAGCTCTCGGCGCTGCTGCTTCCTCAGGTCCATCATCTTCACCGCCACCTGCCGCCCGCTGTGTCTCTCTCGGGCGATGCAGACCACGCCTGTGGACCCCTCCCCGATCTTCACAAAGTTCTCCAGAGTCATCCTTGGGTCTCCTGGGTCCACCACCATCTGCAGCGCCGCCTTGAATTGCTCATGAGTCACCTTCACGCCTCCGTCGGTTACCGCCTGCAGGGGTGAGGAGGGGCTGAGGTGGGCGGGGGGGCGTCCCGGGGAGCCTGTGGGGGAGGGGCAGGGCTGAGACGGGCCGTCCTGGTTCAGGGACGTTGGTGGTTTTGTAGAAGTGTTGAAGCTGGAGGAGGGACGGAGCGAGCGCTGAGGTAACCCTCTACCTGTGACGAGGGGGCTGCTGGTGCTGTTGGGGGGGGGCAGCAGGAGGGGTGAGGAGGGGGAGGTCAGCTGGGGGAGGAGAAGAACATCAAACTCTCAGCAAGAATGTTTCCAAACTGTCGACCTTCTCCTTTAAATGAGACGTCTTACCTTGTGGTCGTAGGTGGAGTGAGGCCTTCTGGGAGTTTCTCTGGAGGAGGACAGCAGGTCCGGCAGGTGACTGACACCTGGTTTCAGTCTCAGATGAGCTCTGCTGCTGGTCTCCACAGTCTGCAGGTCGTAGTGACAGAAGGTTGGCCTCTGTCTTATCCCTGCCCCATCACTGCGGGCATACTGTCCACCTGATGAACCCGTCACACCTGTCCTCTGAGGCGTCGCAGGTGAGGTTGGGGGCGTGGCCTCATGCCGAATCCCCACTTCGCAGATGGACTTGGCTCTCTGCAGACCTCCATCCAGTCCAGGACTCTCGCCGCGCACCCGACGGATCCTGTCCTGCCAGTAGGTGGAGCTCCCGCTAATTTTACCGCCGTCGCCTTGGCGATTGAGCTCCTCATACTGGTACGACTCAATCTCCGCCAGTTCTCCCAGTCGACCCAGTGACCGGGCTCGTTTCCGTGCCGATGGGCTGCCGCGGCGCAGAGAGTTGGAGCTGGTGACGGAAAGACAGCTCATCTCGGAGATCACGTGAGAGATGTAGTCGCCATGACCTATAAAACTACCACGAACAATCGTCTGCAGAGAGACAAATACTGATCAATATATATATTCAAATCAATCACATAAATAGATGACAATAAATCAAAGGACAGTATTTAAATATTCTTATCTTCATGATACATAGTGCTGGAATTCATTCCTATTTTATTTCTGCTTTAATTTATTTTTAAATATCACATTATTCGGCTTTGCCACTTATCAGGGATAACCGAATAATAAATTTATAAATAAGTTTGATCGATCAGCCACCTTCCTTCTTCAGTTTTCCTTCCAATAAAATTACTCCAGCAGCCCGTCTAGATTTACGTAATTTGCGCAGCCCGTTAGCAACGAAATCAGAGTGAAAGCTCTGGTTGTTAATACGGTTGTCATTATTCAACATTATTTCAATGACAGAAGAAAATTCATCAAAAATGGAATTTATACTTCTGTCTATTATCACTTTCACTACAATTTCTGAAACTAAATAATTACCTTTTGATTGCTTCCGACAATGGACTTGTCTCTGTACTTGTATTATTAGATCTTAGTGCTGCATTTGACACCATTGACCATGATATTCTTTTACGGAGACTTGAGCATCAAATTGGCATTAAAGGAACCGCACTAAGCTGGTTTAAGTCATATTTATCAGATCGCTCGCAGTTTATACATGTTAACGATGAATCTTCCATAAATACTAAAGTTAGTCATGGAGTTCCACAAGGTTCTGTACTTGGACCAATACTATTTACTTTATATATGCTCCCTTTAGGCAACATTATTAGGAATCACTCCATTAACTTTCACTGTTATGAAGATGATATGCAGTTATATCTATCAATCAAGCCCAATGAAATTAATCAATTATCTAAATTACAAACATGTCTTAAGGACATAAAATCCTGGATGAGCTGCAATTTTCTGATGTTAAACTCAGAAAAAAACAAAATTCTTACACTTGGCCCTAAAAACCTTAGAAACTCACTGTCTAAAGATATAGTTACTCTAGATGGCATTAACTTGGCCTTTAGCACCACTGTCAGGAATCTTGGTGTTATCTTTGATCAGGATTTGTCATTTAACTCCCACATAAAGCAGACCTCTAGGACTGCCTTCTTTCATTTACGTAATAATACAAAAATTAGACGCATCCTATCACAGACAGATGCAGAAAAACTAATCCATGCATTTGTTACTTCAAGGCTGGATTACTGCAACTCTTTATTATCAGGTTGCCCCAATAAGTCCATTAAAACAATCCAATTAATTCAGAACGCTGCAGCACGAGTACTGACAGGAACTAGAAAAAGAGATCACATCTCTCCTGTACTAGCTACTCTGCATTGGCTCCCTGTAAAATGTAGAATAGATTTTAAAATCCTCCTCCTCACCTATAAAGCTCTTCATGGTCAGGCCCCTTCATATCTTAAAGAGCTCATAGTACCCTATTACCCCACTAGAACACTACGTTCTCTGAATGCTGGGCTACTTGTGGTTCCTATAGTCTCCAAAAGTAGAACAGGAGCCAGAGCCTTCAGTTACCAAGCTCCTCTCCTGTGGAACCAGCTTCCAGTTGTGGTCTGTCTGTCTCTCTGTCTCTCTGTCTCTCTCTCTCTCTCTCTCTCTCTCTCTCTCTCTCTTTTACCCCAACTGGTCGAGACAGACGACCACCCACCTAGAGCCGAAGGATCTGTCCTAGGTTTCTGCCTTTTAACAGGCAGTGTTTCCTTGCCCTTGTCTCCAAGGTCTTGCTCATGGTGGTACTGTTGGGTCTCTGTAATTAATGTTATAAGGAGTTCGGTCTAGACCTGCTCTATTTGAAAAGTGTCCTGAGATAACTTCTGTTGTGAACTGGCGCTATACAAATAAAATTTAATTGAATTCCAAACACCAAAACATCAAAGTACCAACAGCTGTGTTCAGTAAGAAAAACATCTGAATGTATGTTCATTATCAATTACATTATTAATTAAGTTATTAATTAATAACTAACCTCCAGACTGAAACAATACATGATTTATGGAGGTTTTAGTCCTGAAAACACAGGTCTGTCTGTCTGTCTGTCTGTCTGTGCGACATATAGCTTATACACCTGAGAGTACCTGCATGGAAACATAAGCTCATGTTTCAGCTGAACTCCAGACAAAACTGACATTTACAGTAAACCAGTGAACGACCGTCAGCAGCGACAGAGAATCAGGTCAGAGGTCAGAGGTCAACTCAGGGTCCACTGATCTAATGTGAAAATCTTTAAGCTGCAGGATGCCAACTAAAGATTCCTGTAAGTCGACCTGTGAGAGCTCACAGTGGCGTCTAACCACCAGATAAAGAGCAGCATTTTTATCTTATAAATACTAATAATAATAATTAAATAATAAATGAAATATTCAGTTGTTTTCAGTCTGTTATGGTGGAGTCAGGTTAACTTAAAACGAGCTGTGTATTTTACTTTTTATGCTAATGTTAGAATTAATGTTAACAAACTTTTATATGCTAACATTTTTACGTTTTAACTTTTTCAATACTTTTGTGCTAATTTTAGTTTTTTACTTCTACACTAATGTTAGTTGAAGATAAAATAAAATCTGTCATTTATATTACTGCACTAATGACCCTTAATGAAGTTAATGTCTTTGGTTGTTTCCTGCTGGCTCTGCGGCTCTCTCTCCGGTCGCACTCGGATCTTTGATATTGATAATGATCAGCTGACATACAGGAAGTTATTGGGGGAGAAAATAAAACCGACTTCATCATGACTCAACAAAACTGTTTGAAAGTTGTTTTTGTGATTAAACGGAAAATGAATGTGTGACAAATGTTAATATAATAATTGTTCAGGCGGAAATAAACTGTGTCTGATCAATAATACTGATTAACTCCTGTAGTGAACATACACTGTATGCCAATGTTACATTTACACTAACTAGCATTACTTTTTATTTTTCATGCAGCTGTGGCTCAGAGGCTGATCGGGTCGTCCACTAATCGGAAGGTTGTGGGTTCGATCCCCGGCTCCTGGTGCCACATGTCGAAGTATCCTTGAGCAAGATACTGAACCCTGAATTGCTCCTGATGCCGTGTGTGAGTGTGTGTGAGTGTGTGTGAAAGGGTGAATGTGTGTGAAAGGATGAATGTGTGTGAAAGGGTGAATGTGTGTGAAAGGGTGAATGTGTGTGTGAAAGGGTGAATGTGTGTGAAAGGGTGAATGTGTGTGTGAAAGGATGAATGTGTGTGAAAGGGTGAATGTGTTTGATTTGTGTGAAAGGATGAATGTGTGTGAAAGGGTGAATGTGTGTGTGAAAGGGTGAATGTGTGTGAAAGGGTGAAGGTGTGAAAGGGTGAATGTGTGTGAAAGGGTGAATGTGTTTGATTTGTGTGAAAGGATGAATGTGTGTGAAAGGGTGAATGTGTGGGAAAGGGTGAATGTGTGTGAAAGGGTGAATGTGTGTGTGTGAAAGGGTGAATGTGTGTGAAAGGGTGAATGTGTGTGTGTGAAAGGGTGAATGTGTGTGAAAGGGTGAATGTGTGTGATGTGTGTGAAAGGATGAATGTGTGTGAAAGGATGAATGTGTGTGTGAAAGGATGAATGTGTGTGAAAGGATGAATGTGTGTGTGAAAGGATGAATGTGTGTGAAAGGATGAATGTGTGTGAAAGGGTGAATGTGTGTGTGAAAGGGTGAATGTGTGTGAAAGGGTGAATGTGTGTGAAAGGATGAATGAGTGTGAAAGGGGTGAATGTGTGTGAAAGGGTGAATGTGTTTGATGTGTGTGAAAGGGTGAATGTGTGGGAAAGGGTGAATGTGTGTGAAAGGGTGAATGTGTGTGATGTGTGTGAAAGGGTGAATGTGTGGGAAAGGGTGAATGTGTGTGAAAGGGTGAATGTGTGTGTGTGAAAGGGTGAATGTGTGTGAAAGGATGAATGTGTGTGAAGGGGTGAATGTGTGTGAAAGGATGAATGTGTGTGAAAGGGTGAATGTGTGTGAAAGGATGAATGTGTGTGATGTGTGTGAAAGGATGAATGTGTGTGAAAGGGTGAATGTGTGTGAAAGGATGAATGTGTGTGAAAGGGTGAATGTGTGTGATGTGTGTGAAAGGATGAATGTGTGTGAAAGGATGAATGTGTGTTTGAAAGGGTGAATGTGTGTGAAAGGGT